TTCCCCTTCCTAATTTTGGGGGTCAGGTATTTTGTCTCACCAACATGAGAAAATTAACTAAGACAGAGGTTTTGTTGTAAAAGGGGTAAAGAGAGCTGTAGCTGTCAGCTGTAGGGCTGCAGAGAATCAAGTGAAATCTATGTTAAGATTTAGCATTCTGTAGCACTAGAGATACATAGAGGAAATAATATAACTCCAAGTTTGCTACATGTCAGATACACCGAGTTTGTGTTCCTCAGTTGAAGAATGAACAACAGAAGAAGAGCAGTAAAACTTTAGTGAGAGAGACAGCTTTTAAGAAATAGGGAGGGGATCCTAAAGTGGGGTTGCCAATGAACCCACTTCTCAAAGTAAGTTTTATAGAGCAAAATCATGAAGTGGGTACAATGCGATTCAAAACTATGCTCAACCATAAGATTATAAATGTAACTGCTTAGGTAATGTGGGGAAGCAGGTAATGTAGTGAGTACACACGGAAAGAACAAAAACCTTCTTTAGGAAGGCAACTTAGTAACTTTTCTCATTGCTGATACAAAATACCCGGCATCAAAAGTTAAAGAGGGAAAGGTTTATTCTGCTGACAGTTTGTAAAGGTTTCAGTCCATAATTGGCTGGTTCCCAGGCAGGGTGGCACATAGAGGAAAGGCCTCATAGAGGAGAAACAGTTCATGCATGCAGAAGATAACAAAGCAACAAGGAGACATTTATAGCACTTTCTGCCCTTTTATCTTACCCAGGTTACTGGAATTAGGGTGGGCAAAACCAATCAGTGGATTGATTTAGTAATCACTCACCCTTAATCCTAGTACACTTAATCCTAGCATGATGGCACCATGAGTCAATCACCCACTCTAGATTCACCTCTGAAAAAGCCCCATCTATTACTGCATGAGGCTTTAGGGGACATCTAGACACAAACCATAACAGAAGGGATGGATCAGAGGGGCATAGTCACCCAGTAGGGTGACTGATGTCTATCTAAACTTTATTGGACCAGGTGAGTACAGTCTTCAATTTAGGATTCATTGCTGGTCATTCTGTCTTTATCTTGAATTACCTTTAGCAGATGCACCTCCAGCCACAGTGGTAATGCATTCTTACCTCAGCACTGATTCTCTTGAGGGCCTATCTCTGTCTTGACTGCTCCAAAGCATAGCCCAAGAGCAACAGTTTAAGGTGGCAAAAGACAGCAAAAGCAACAAGAGCAAAACGGGAAAGCAAGCACCTTTTCTTTCCTTGTATTGTATGCAGGTTCCACACCACCTTGGTGCCTTCCTCTTTCACAAGCTCAGGATATTTACAAAGTGAGGACTTTAATCCCTTGCAGAGTCACTTAGTTTAGCTTCTAAACTTTCCAGTTCTCAAGTTGACCCAATGTATCAACCATTACATACAGCCAAAAAAGTGTCCTGGCCAACAAAGGGCCAGTAGTAAAAGAACCACATGTAGGGTTGAACCCCCTCTCCTGGTACTGTATCAACTAGTAAATCCTCAGATCCACATGACAGCTTGCCAAGTAGAGCACTAGTGGCAAAACAGACATGACAGGGGATTAAACTTTGAACTGGTAAATATTTATGTAAATAGATTTACTTAAACCTGAAAAGATGGAGGTTCCTTTAACGGGCAAATTAGAGAGTTCTCTCCACCTTACCCACTCCTACTCACTGTCTAAAGGTTATAAAGTTTAGATTTCTTTTAAAAACTCTCACAATGACTGGCTGCTTCTTACTTTTTGCATTTGAGTTTCAGTATGAAACCAGAGTCCCTTGCTATATTTATTTTTTTCTCCTTTCTGCTCTCCTACTCATTAGATTACGTACTCTTTGACAACAGTCTATATCTTCCATCTATGTATTGCTACTGTCTACCACATGTGGGAACCACAAATGAAAGCCAGGCATCTAATTTTAGATTTCCTAGTAGTCACATTAAAATTTAAAAAGAACCATAAAATTAATTTTAATAATGTATTTTATTTAGTCCACTGTAAGTAAAATATTATCATTACAATGTATAAATTAATATTATCAAGGAACTATTTCAATTTTATATGTATGTGTATATACTAAAACTTAGGATCTTTGCCTACCTGGCAAGCACAAGGTCCTGAGTTTGATTTCTGGTACCAAATAAATAAATAAATAAAAGTTTAAGATCTGGTGTGAATTTTACATTTATAGTACATCTCACTTTGGATGGTGTTGTAGTCAGGGGTTGTACACAGAGAACAATTAGTATCAAGACATGGAGTTTATAATATTATTTTTATAATGGTCACCGGGAGTTAACACAGGAAAATGCAGGAAATCTCCGCAACACCAAAGACATAGATTATTTAGTCAAGAGCCTAAACCCCACAGCAATGTCCCACATGAGTCCAGATAAAAATTCAGAGCTCAGGACAATGCCTCCCACGAGTCCAACTGGAGGTCCAGAGCCCACAAGAAGGACTCACACTAGTCTCTTTTACGGATCCGTGCCGGGAAGACCCAAGGGTCAGCGGTGGAAGCCAGAAAGTCTATGCCAGCAGGATGAAGGAGCTGTGCTAGGGTTCTACGCTGGAGCCGGTAAGTCACACTCAAGGCTATCCTAAGAGGCACCACAGCCATCCTTAGCAACACGGAGGCCTCAAGCTCCTCCTCCGACAAGCACAGTCTGGTACATGCCAGGAAGCAGTGTGATGAGTTCATCCTGGAGACCCAAGCAACACATGTCTTCCCCTCCAGAGCCAGGGAGCAATGCTCGATGTGAGGATCACAGCTTCTCCCGGAGAACCAACAGCTCGAACAGCAACATTTAGGAGAACCCACAATGCTACAATGCCTTAACGCCTCAACCCTCAACACCTCCCTTCTTCTCCACCTATGTATCCTGGCAACTTTCCTCAGGTGGAGCATCTTCGCTCAATGCCATGCTGATGTAATCCAGCTGGTATTAAGTTGACCACCAGTTCTTAATCCATAACAGATGGGCCACCTTTAAGTCCTCAATAGCTGTGTGTTGCAAGTGCCTGCCTTATTGGAAAACATAGGTCTAATGCAATTCTTGCCACAGAACAATGTAAAAGTAAATATTTGTTCAGTGGGTGGATTTATAATACTACATGTTATAATATCTTCTTGCTCCTTAAGAAAATTTTTTCCTTTAAAAGTAGAGCAGTACAACAAATTATACTTTACCATTGATATATGGTATTCACAGTGTTGGACTTACAATATTTAGAATTAGATTTTAAAACAATAAAACATATATGGTGTTTTAACATGTTTAGATGACACTGAAGCATAACACTGGCTTCCCTGTGGTTGGGTCAAAAATCAAGGCTTGCCATTTCTTGGATTAGGAATACATATATACTTTGCCCTCAGCATAAGCCATAGCAGGTATTTGTGCAGCCTGATCTATAATTACTATAATATGTCATGGACCTGAGTCTGTTTTTTAACGCTCTGTGTTTGATTATTAACCCGTTTTGTTGTCCATTACTCAGTTTTCCCACAGTTAATAATCATGCTCTCTTGGCTTGACTGAAAATTAATTTCATTAGAAAGCCAGTCATTTGCGGAAATTTCTAGTTACACAAGATGATCATCTTTATGGCTACCTGGCTAGTCATTTTCTATTTTACATTGCTGGTGTTGGATTTGTTATCCCTTTTTAAGGACAAAATTTCATCATTTTTCTTATACTCTTCCAGCCTTTCTCTTTCTAATATGCCAAGAATTTTAATCCTCTACCTCATCCCAAAATGCTGGCACTATCAGGCAATGTCACTTTATATTTATTTTCTAGTAGTAACTTCATATAGCTATGGGATGACATTGACTGTGGAATAGAATGAATGTCTCGAGCAATGTTGTGGCATGATAATCATTATTGAATGGTCCTTGCTTAAGTAGTTTATGCCACTGCTTCGCAGTGATTCTATTTCTAATGCATTTTGCCACTTTGCAGCTGAGAATGTCTTTTACTAGGTAAGCATCTATAGTGTATAATAAATTTTACGTAGCAGTAATTGTAAATTATCAAAACTTGTGTATTCACAAAATTACCAATTACCCCGTATTAACAACACTCCTCATTGGTAATGAAAATGAGAAGGGGAGAAATGCAAGTAATCCGAACTTTCCTCATGGTCCCCCACCAAAGCTAAGTATTATGGTTTCCCTATTTGACTGACTAGGAAGATACCAGGCAAAGGTAGAGTCCATTGTGAGACCACAATCATCTTTCTTTGGATTTCTCTCAATAGTATGACTAGCGATCTCCTTTAGTTTGAATTGCTCCTCTATTTTATGGGTGACAAGGCAGCTGTGCCAATTAGCTGTGCAAAGAATTAAAAGGCCCCTTCCGTCTTTGAACAACGTTTTTTTTTGGCCCCTACTACGTTAAACTCAGAAGACGTGGCAAGGATTGGCCCAGATGTCTAGTAAAAATATTTAGACTCAGGATCAACTTCTCAGGTAAAACCTCTCCTCACTGATGCCAAACTCATAAAACTTGTTTTAAGTGTAGTTAAGAAGACTCCTCTCCGGTGCAGGTTTTTCTGTTATTTTGTTAGAAATCAGAAAACGTTAAGACTGAATTCAAATTAAGTATTTCAAAAATCTTACAGGTGAAGCCTGCTCTGGTTGCTAGGCAACGTGACGGACTCCCAAGCAAGGACCATCTCGCCTCCTACTCTTGACGATCTCTCCCGTGGTGGGACGTGGAGTTTCCATTGGACCCCATCTCTTCTCACTGAGTTCCAATTGGCCAAAGAAACTCTCACTCCGCTCCCGTAGCCTCTCGCCTTCTCTCCCCGTTTTGTCATTGGCAGGTGGGCTCTCGGGCCATCGTGCGTCACTGTCTCACCCCACTTCCTTGGCCTCCAAACTTTGTCCCCGCCCTTTCCCCCCGCCCTTCCAGCCACGAGGGAAAACCCTAGCAAGTCGCAGACTCTAGTTTCCTTACGATTGGTAGAAATAGGACCGGGGGGCGGGCGTTAGTTGGCTACTCCGCCATCTGCAATTGGCTGCTGGAGCCGCTGTCCCGCCTCCCACCGGCTCCCCGGCTGTGCCGGAGTCGGGCGGGTCGGCGATTATAAAGCTGGCGGAGGACGGGCTCCGCGTCCTGTCCTTTTGCGGCGTGCTCTTTTCACTAGGTCACTTCCCGGTAACGTTTGGGTGAGTGTCCGGTGTGGGGAAAGAGAGCAGGGCTGCTGAGGCGGATGTGGGCCGGGAGGAGGCTGTGTCCTTGGACTAGGCCCTGAGGAGTTCTGGCTCCCGCTCCGGTCAGGGCTGAGGCGCGGACCTTGCTTGCTCTGGAGGATGCAGGGCATGCAGGGTCCCTGGGCGGGGGCTTGGTGTTTCCAGGGGCGAGCCTGGGTAGGGTGTCGGGGATTCTGCTGTCGGCTGGCGAGTCGCGGATGGGAAAAGGCAAAAGGGCATTGATAGTGGGGGTTCTAATGACATAGGAGTTGGAGGGGCCAGAGTGGTGGCGGTGATCACCGTGGGCAGGGGAATTGAGGATGTTAGGAGAAGAGAGGGAAGCTGGGCTGCCTGGGAGTTCCCGGAGCTTTGGGTTAGGGCAGAGATGCCTGTGCGATTGGGGACAATCAGGCTTACATGGAGGCTTGCAGATTGGCAGGGGGTGTGTCTTCCTGCTGTCACTTACAGAATTAATAGGAGGAAGGGGAGATGGCAGAGTTATTTTTCTTCCCCAGCTCAAGTGCAAGAAATCGCAAGTGTGATTTAGACCCTGAGGATTACCGATGCCCTGGAACCTTCAGTGTGTGCCTGCTTGAAATCTAACAAAATTCCTGCCTCCTTCCTCCATTTATCCTTGTCTGTCTTTATATATTTTGAATGTTCGCCTTCATATAAAATAATTTCCTCAGTATTCTGGAATGTCACACCTCTGTCCTGTTAATGATTTCAGGACCTGCCCTAGGTGGTAGGGTGATGTAGAAGGCAGGCACCCACAGAATCAATAAACGGATTTTAGCTTTTATCGAAGACGTATCATTTCTAGTCTAAGTGTATGGAATCTTTGCAAACAGTTTACTTTTTAATGGTGAATCGTAAATGAAGAGGATGCAGGATTTTGCTCTGACCAGAGATACAGAAAGAATTCCTCTAATGTACTCTGTAGGAGGGATTTGGGGAACAGGTATTGTGAAGTTGTTTCTCCTTGTCACACTTGCATTATTGCCTTGGCCTCAGGGCATCTTTGACTTCTTTTTTGCCCACTAGTGGCCCCTCCTACAACCTGACCAACCTGCTGCAGTAGGATGATGTGTTCTGGTTGCTGTTAACATCTGCTGTGTTTTAGGGATGAATCATGAAAAAAAATAGCAAGATGAATGACAAAGTTCAGATAAATGGAAGTACTCCAGTATTTTTGTTAGAGATGGAGATTTAGATTTTTATTGCACGGATTCTGTGAGCTGCAAAACAGATTAAAAGACCTTACCATGCATCTGTACAAGTTGTTCTTTGCATGTTGAGCTATCTAAGCAGTTTGGTTTTTTTGATCAAAAATTTAAATGTCAGGGCTAGGGATGTAGGGGAGTGATATAGTCCCTGTCTGGAAAGCTTAAGGTTCTGAGTTTGATTCCCAGTACACACATACATAAAATTTTTAAATAGTTATTTTTGTGTGGAGATGCAGATCTAGGATAGCTTTTTTTTTTTTTTTTTTGAGACAAGGTCTTGCTATATGGCTCAGGCTGGGCTTGAACTCGCAGCAATCCTGCCTTACCCTCCAGAGTGTTGGGATTACAGATGTGTGCCACCACACCTAGCATGGGATAGCATTTTAAGAAAATAGAGAAAAGTGGTTTTTTGTGTCTAACCTTTGTAGATACTTTTCTCCTACATTGGTTAAGTTTTAGTTCAGTTCAGTTGTAGTGTAGTAAATGTCAGCTCCCAGAAGGTGTATCCAGTGCTGGCAAGAGAAAGTGTAAAAAAACATGTGTTTGAAGCCATGGAAAGTCATATCATCTGTGACTCACTTTTAATTTTATTTTTCTTAAACATTCCTCCTGCTTGTTTTTATGTCTTCTTTTAATTGTGGGACTGAGTTTGAGGTTTTTGCTCAGATTTTAGGTATTTTCTTAGAAGAAAGGCAAACTTTCAGATGTAATATAGGTTTTCTTGAATGATTTTGAACCTGGTCAAATCTTACATAATCTGGTGGAACTGAAAGTCAGATGTGATTGGAGGAGCTTGGTGAGCTGTATATTAGAATCTCTAATTAGTTTCACTTAGCCAAAAGCTGGAGAAACAATGATAGTTTTCAAGTAGAAAGGAGTAATCTTATATTTGATGTTGGGTTATTCTAAAACCAAATGTCATAGAAAGGTGTGTACTTTAACCTTTCTAAAGAAGGTAGTATAGATTTAAAAGGTTGCCTAATCTAATAGGAACATGCCAGCACTAGATTCTTAAATATTTATTCTAACACATGGCCCATGTTGATGTTCGTTTAACTTGGAAGGGAAACTGAGCTTTTGAAACTTTTAGTGTGCATCTTTGAAGGGTTTGTGGTTGTGTATGGGTATAAATAATACAAGGCCAAAAAATACTCTGTTCTGATTCTGTTTGGACTCCTTACAATTTTTTTTTCAGATTAGGGCCTGGGAACAAGTGAAATATACTCTTTGCATTGAACAGTAGTGGTAGAGAGAAATTTTCTTAAACTCCCAATTATTTGGTTGTATAGCTGATCTCAAAGTGGTGACAAAAGGAACTTACTAGAAGGGTCTTTACAAGCATTTGAATCTATCTAGACAATTTATGCTTTAAATTTGGCCACCCAAACAGGTTCTCAAAGGGATATTTCAAAAGAATCAAAGTATATCTCCCAACAGGAGTTTAGGAATCTAAAACAGATAAAGAGTATCCCCCATAAAGTAGTTTTCAACTAGAGAATAGGTTATGAAGACTTCAGTGAATCATATACCTGTATAGGGAGTGGGTTCCTGATTAAAAGATTCGCATTGCGTGTGATTTATCTGAGAAGACTTCCAAGAAGAGGTAACAGACCAGGACTCTGAAATATGAATTGAATGTCTGATAGGTCAGAGGGCTGAAGATATAGCTCAGTGGCTTGCCTGGCAAGCAAGAGGTCCTGCATTCGATACCCCATACTAAGCCCATACTGTCGCCCCAAAACAAGAGAATGTCTAATAGGATCAATAATTGGGGGCGGTGGGGAGGGTTATATTTTTTACTTTAAGGATTAGGACTACACCAGAGAATACATGCAAGGGCAAGGATTTCTTAGGTACTTTTTGTTTGTATCATGCTAAAGAAGAAAGATTTCCAATTCTTGCTCAATTTCTTGAATCCCTAGTAATAATGAACAAGATCAGCAGGTAATTTGTATTTCATGTTTGATACATTTATTATCATATTTGATAAATTGGAAAGTTTATCATGTACCAAAATGTATGCTAGATTAATTTATCTGACCACTTATTTGAATGAAGGTTAAGGAAGGAGCCAGAGGAGAAATTTTCTTACTGCAAATCATCAAGTATATATATCTTTATATATATCTTTATGTATATATATATATATATATATATATGGCTTCAAGAAGTCCTCTCGGCCTGGAGAGGAAATCATGCTTTTTGTCCCTTGCTAAGCAGTGGTAATCCCCTTAATTTACAGCAGACAAAAGCATAATTTGAGACAAAGAATTAGAGGTAGTTGTTGACTAAAAATGAATATATGAAATACTGTAATGAGACTTTTTTGGGAATGTAGTAATTAGGTATAGAAACTCAAACTGTCTTTAGGTGTAGAAACTCAAGATTTATTTCTTTCATGTGAGGAGAGTTAAACTTTATACAGTAAAGGAACTAAAGTCTTTAGATAGCTCTTAAGTTATCTAAGATAATGTAGATGTAAAGTTTTGCTAAATAGCACAAGGGAGAAAGAAATTTTCTCAAAGGATGGGGAGTGATAGTGGCCGAACTAAAATAACATGAGTTGAAATAAGTGAAAATGATTAGGCCTTGTTAGAAACCTTTTTTTTCTTTGAAAAATGCTAGTAAAAACCAGGATAATAATAAAGCACTGGTTCTTTTCACAAACAGCATTTTTCACATACTTCATACTTCAGCTTCTCAACAGTCCCTCACAATGAGCAGGGGAGAGTATATTAGCTTTATTTTATAGAAAGTTTAAGGTTCGAAGTGGCACAATTTGGAAGCTTTCACTAAAGTCACAAGCTCCCCCGTGCAGAATAAACTGTTGAACATATACATTTCTTAACTGCAGGAATTTACTAGCCCAGTACAACTTATTTATATTCTTTTCTCCTAATTTTTGATGACCCAAATTTAATAAATAAGACTGCACCTCTTAATACCACAGTTTCTTTAAAGCTTTAGTTGATGATTGACAATGTTTATTATCAGGGTTGAACATACCACCGTAAGGGCTAATAAGGAGAAGAGTTGTATAAGCCTTAGGAACCATTTTTCCCCTAGGCACATGTGATGTTCTTTTCTACATAATGTAATTGGATAAGGAAGTACTTATTTAAGCTTTGAATTTAAGTCCTCTTACTTGACATTAGTGTGGTGATTTATGACTTTAAAAGAAATTCTTATTTGAAATTCCTAGTGCCGGGAGGAGGAAACGGTGACGAACCTGGAGACTGCATTTCCCTGTCCTTCCCGCAGGTATGGCATCATCATGTCATCCATGCTGCTTACATAGAGTTCTTCTTTTATGAAAAATGGGCATTAAAGTTTTATCCTAGAGCAAATAACCATTTGTATGTGCCATATATTCTTAAAACCCTTTTTAAGTTTACCTATACTTTTAAAAATTAATTCTATAATGCTTCAGGTGACTGATTGGGGTTTTTTTGCTGTTTCTTTTGTCTATTTTTTTTTTTTGAGGTAGGGTTTTTTTGTTTTTGTTTTTTTTTTTGTCTTTTTATCAGTACCAGGGATCGAACTCACGACTGCCTGCTTGCAAGGCAGGCATTTATGCCTGCTGAGCTAAATCCCCAGCCCCTAGAGGTAGGGTTTCACTATGTGTTTTGAGCTGACCTGTAGCCCACAACGCTTCTCCTGTTTCAGCCTCCTGAGTGCTGGGATAGCAGACATGCGCCACGATGCCTGGCTCTGATTTTATGTTGATGAAGCTAATGTTTAAAATCTAGAAACCAATTTTAAAAATTAGTTTTCAGTCATAAGAGAAAAAGTATAGACAATAAGATGTAATCAAATAAATTACTTGATCAGAAACAATCATAGTGTCAGACATGATGGCACATACCTGTGATCCCAGCACTCCAGACACTAAGAGTAGACAGCGATTATAAATGTGTTTGAACCAATGATATAATTATTTGCAGGTATTTTTCATATTGCTATGGAGCACCTCTTTTTGAATCTGTTTTTTCTTGTATTTCAGTGTTATAATTTCCTGTGGTTGTTACTAGGTTAGAAAGCTAGTAGGATTTCATTTATTCAACATCTGTTTAACATCTGTTAGATGCTGAACAGTGAGCTGGATACCAGGGACACAAACATAAATAAGGCACAGTTCCTGTTCTTGGAAAGCTCCTTTCCTGGGAGAGAGTGACTGAATCCATGCAATAGAAGAGACATTTGGAAACGTTTGAAATGGCATCACAGTTGATCAGTAGGCATGTGATTTCAAAAGACAACATGGCCTAGCTCAGGGAAGAGAATGGAGGCAGAGTTGTGAGGCTAGCTAGCATAGTAGCCTGGGGGCAGATGCTTGACATCTCTTGCTTACAGTTGACTAGAAGGATGGGCTCATCCTTGCACCAGTGTCTCAACTGGTGCCCGCCCCCACCGTGTTTCACGTGTTGTAGGGGGTTTGGTGGTTCTTTTCTTGCCCTTGGCAGGGAGCCTCTACGGTATAAAGTCCAGTATTGACAAGTGTTCCTACCCGTTTTTTAACTCTAAAAATAAATTGTGAAGCTCCTTTTGTCCACCAGAGGGGGTAAGCAGTCACTTGAAGAAGAAAAGACTTTTCTCTCACTTTTTTTTTTTTATCACTTTTTGTTGGATTAGGTTATAAAGACTTTTGTGGGAAACGTGTACCTTTTCTACCTTTTTAACAGGTGGACTCAAAAAATAAAACTTATGTACTTCATTATAAATATGTTATGCTGCTTGGAGTTTTCATTGCAAATACAACTGGAAAAAAATTTTTAAAACTTAATGGCCAAAACAGAGTTTTTTATGAGTAGTTATTGTCAAACTTTCAAAATTGTATTCTATTTAGGAAAAGTTATTGTGCATATTTGTTTTATTTTTTAAGAGTAGGAGTCAACCATAATACCCCATTCTCTCATAAGGCAAAGGGTTGACATACAATGTTAACATCTCAAACCTTTAGCTGGGGGCCCCGCCCCCACCCCAGTTTATATATGGCCTACTTTAGAGAATCTTTGAGGACAACACAGCAGGTGCTTAAAAAGTGGGTGGTTTTTTTTTTTGAGACAGGGTCACACCATGCAGTGCAGGCTGGACTTGAACTCATGGCAGTCCTCCTGCCTCAGCCTCCCAAGTACTAGGATTACAGGCATGCACCACCATGCCTGGCATGAACAGGATATTTTAAAGCAACATTTTAGATTGAAAATGTTACCAACGTTATGTCCTTGTAAATGGCATGGATATAATTAATTCCTTGTGTTGATTTTTCTCTTAGCTACACTCTTCCTCAATTTTAACCAAAAACTATGGTTTTTAATTTGGATAGCTGTTTATGAAGAACATCAGAAATTCTGAAAGAATGAGTAACATTGACCAAGTTAGAGAATATGAAAAAAAATTTCCACATCAAAATCACAGCAGTGATTCAATTTTATGTCTGAAATATTTTAGCTAATTTTTGTTTTGAAATGAAGTAAATTTCATACTTCTAGGGTTTAAGAGTAACCGATATCTTATGTCATTAAGTATAATGCAAAGAATTGATCAGAGCTGGTCAGGCTGTGGCAGATGTGGAAAAAGGGCATATAAAAATCTATAAACTTGAGAAGATTATGAAATTCTATTTGAGATGGCCAGACTCTATTAATCTGTTTGGGTACCATAACAAAATAGCACTGTGGTTTAAATAGTAGGCATTTACTTGCGTTTACACATTTAGTCTGTGGACTCACTGTCTATATTATGACACAAATACATAATTGTAAGTAAAATAGCAGAAACTGTTGATTAATGTAACCCTTTGCCTTATGAGAGAATGGGGTATTATGGTTGACTCCTACTCTTAAAAAATAAAACAAATATGCACAATAACTTTTCCTAAATAGAATACAATTTTGAAAGTTTGACAATAACTACTCATAAAAAACTCTGTTTTGGCCATTAAATTTAAAAAATTTTTTTCCAGTTGTATTTGCAGTGAAAACTCCAAGCAGCATAACAGGAGGCTGACTTTGAGGAGGCTGAAAGTCAGAGTACTTGGACAGTGGCTGGTGCTAGTGCCTTCTCATTGTCCTCACCTGGCAGAGAGAGAGAGCAGGCACACCACCGGGCTTGAGCAAGCTCCTGAGGTCTCTTTAAGAGGATTAATTCTATAATGAGAGTCCCTCTTCATGACCTTATCTAAAACTGATCACCACCCCAAAGTCTTACCTCCACAAACACTGAGGGTTGGTGTTACAACATGGGAATTTTGGGAAGACACATTCAGTCTGTGGACTCACTGTCTATATTATGACACAAATACATAATTGTAAGTAAAATAGCAGAAAATGTTGATTAATGTAAGATGCTTTAGTGCCAATTCAGAGGCAATAGTTTTTTGAATACTTAGAATTTTATTCGTACTTATCAAAAGAGCTCTTTTAGATTTAGACCATACGTTTGTCATGTTTCACTTTTGCACATTTAAAGAGAAGGAAAATACAAATGGTAGTACATTGAGGAACCGGTGAATTTTCTAGTCTGCTTTATCTGAATTATTCTTTGATCCAGAGTTACTGATACCTGTAGTTTTTCATGTAGCATCTTTTGGGCCACTAAAAGTATCTGTGATATTATATTCCTTTGAAGGTTTCATAAATAAACAAAAAAGTTTTAATACTTTCCTCTGACTTCTTTCTTTTGTCTCCTACTTAGGGATTCACAATCTTTCCCAGGCCACTTGTGGTGAAAAAAATACTTCAATATTGTTTCTGGGACTTTCAGTCTGTTGATTGTCAAAATGTGACTCTTCATTGATAAAATACGATAGTATAGAAGGAAACGCATGAAATGCCAGAGATAATTATAATTGAGAATTGCCTGGGGTGATGTTATGAATTTAGGGAGAGTAAGAACACTCAGCTTAACAGGATTTGAAAGATTTCATGGGTGAGATGAGCTGCCTTATGTAGGTCTATAAAGTATTTCAATAGCAGAACCAAGAGATGAGTTGTTGAAGAAACCACTCAATAGTTTAGAATAATGGATAGATTAAGTGGCAAATAGAGGGAGCGTTATATAGATAATTTGAGTAGAGTGAAAAATTGGGTGATGTTTGGCACTTACCTCAATTATTGACTTTTTACTGTAGATTGCATGAAGCAGAGTTGAGAATCTTACATAAAACCCTATATAAGGTGAAAGTGGGTGGCAAAGCTTAACTGGAGAAAATCCGAACTGTTGGTGAAATGGCAGAGGCCAAGGCAGCCTGTCTGAGTTTGTTCTCTTCCATTTCCCCGTGGCAGTTCTGAATGCTGGTTTGGTTGAACCCTGCTTACCAGGGGAAGGAGCACAAGACAACAGAGCTTGTATGAAAGAGGGAGGGACAGAACGAAGTGGAAAGGCGCTTCCTGTTTATTTAGAGGATGTGATAGCGACCCTGTCAAGTCAAAACAGTTGATTCCCAAACATTTCTTCCTTTTCATAGTATCTGTCAGTTATAATTTCTGCTAGTATGTGTATTTTTGAAGTTGTTCTTTCTTAACCCTTCATGGAGCAGTCGCTGTAGTTCATGGCTCATGTTTAATTTAGGTTACTGTATCTGCTTCCTAGCTCAGATCCATTCTCTGCACAGCACCTGTGGCTGTAAGAGTGAGGCAGACTTTTTGACTATAACTGACCCCTCATAAGGACTACACTTTATATCGCAATGCAGTATATTTGTGAATAACTAAACATGTTCCATGGGGGGCAAATTCTTTACATTTACTATGCCGTGCATCTTATATTTTCTAGTTTTTGATTCATTTTTTTTTTTTAAAGTTTGCAATCTACTAACTTGCTTCTGGTTTTGGAAAACAATATGATTCTAATTTTCCTTTTTAAAACTTTCCATGATAAAGTTGAAACTTCCATGATCTGACCCTTGTCTAGTTCTTTTGACCCAGAATTTTTCTCATCTACTCACTGGGTTTCTGGTTTCATGCTAACAGACTAGTAAACACTTTTCTTAGTTCCTTGCAGTGTGTCTTTCTTTATGTTGTCCACACTATGTTGAAAAATTTTCCCCACCGTCTTTGTGGAGTGCTTTACTGATTATTCCTACCTTTTTCATTTTTTTGGTTTTTTTGTCTTTTTTCTTTTTTATCGGTACCAGGGATTGAACTCACGACTGCACACTTGCAAGGCAGGCGCTTATGCCACTGAGCTAAATCCCCAGCCCCCTACCTTTTTCTAAGACTTCAGGAATTTATAGCCAGCCAGCTTTTCCTCACGCTCCATCCCTGGCCATCAGGCTGGGTTAGGTAATTCCTCATAATCTAATGTGACTACGTGTTGTTGCTTCTTTGTTATTATGTGTTTTTAATCTAATAATTCCACAAGACTGAATATTTGAGAAAACACAGATGTCTCCCACTAAACTGAATTCAGATGTTTCAGTATGCAGCATGTTAGCATTCTTTAGATGAATCCAAAAAAAAAAAAGCACGAATATGATTGTGTTTGGAAGTGTTCCTTAAGACCTTTAGCTTACGATTTGAGATTATATTTCTAAGTGCTTATTTTTTAGATTTTAATATACTCATAGCTTGATCACCTATGGGCCATCAAAGGTGTGATTTATGATGTCAGAACACTTTTCTGCTTTAGGCATTTTCTTAAGATTTCATTAATTTAACTCACTATGACAAAATAATTTTGTTATATCTTAAGATTGTACCAGAGTTTGGAGAATGACAGAGAACAAATGACATAGATACTGACTTTTCATTTTTAGTTGTCAAACACTGAGGATAGTGAATCAGTTTACCCTAGGTAATTCGTAGACCAGGTCTTTCAGTCAATGAAGAGCTCAGATTCTACCAACTACATACCATCATCCAGTTATGTCCCACCTAAAAAGAACATGGGAGAATTTTAGATACGTGGGTGGGTCTTTCTGTAAAACTGACGGGCTGTACCGCTCTTCAAAGCCTGATTACATTTCCCTGACACCTATTCCAGCTGGGTTTTAGAACACCAGTGGAAGAGCCCACATGAGAGTAGGAGGTGGAAGGAAGGTAGCTCCCTTGTTCTCATCAGTGGCGGCGGCAGCAGCTGGAGTGTGAGTCTTGGTTCCTGCTTAGCGCCAGCAGCTTCAGTACAAGTGTGAGCTCATGGGATCTGAAGATCTACCTTTCTCCTTTTGTTTCTCCAGCTCAGCAGACAAATTTGTAGCCATTTCTCTGGATTAAATCGCCTCTCTTGTGATTAAATCTTTCTCTAAAGTAATTTCTCATTTCTTGACTAATACAACATTTAAAAAAGACATTTAAAGCTCTGGTTAATTAAGTGATTGTGGATAGGCATATAGCAGTGGCCTTGAGGGATAGCAGATTTTGTTACTTTGATAAGTAAACCTAGATACTACTGAAAATCTTCACAGTATGGCAAGAGTCCATCTTTTAATGCCTTTTTAAAAAAGAAGGCATGGTTTTAAGAACTAAGAGTTAGTTGACCCGAAGATAATATGCACTGTCATTTTTCAAATTATCAGCATTTCTTCCCAACTCAACCCCTGGATCTAGAAGATAAGTGACATAATAATTTTGTGCTGACTGATTCCCTATACACTAGCTGTAGAAGTAGAATATTGGTATTTAAGCCTATATAAATCCTGGAATGTGTCTTTGTTTTTCAAAAGGTCAGTGTTATGGGTCAGTGTTAATTTAGCTTCTTTGGTGGGGATAAAGTAATAAAAGAAGCCTTATACAGATTGGCAGTGAACAGCTAAGTATATTCAATACTACATCTGTGATGAATAATCTCTGTAAACTATTTTAGGTGGTCTGGAAAAAGTCAGACAATTGAATTATGATTTGTTTGCTGTATTTTTAAATTGGTATTACATTTATGTCATAATTCTTCACAGTATAGGAAAATCTTACTTAGGTGTTACTTACCTATAACATTCATGTTTCAAATGTAAAGATACCCTGTTCTGAATAAGAAGTAGAAGCCTTTCTAAAAGGCTATAAGTTTACAGGGTAGTATTCTACTTGTTTCTTCACGTAATTATATTTGACTGCCCTAATTAAAATGTTTTAAACTGAGAAACTGAAGTAATCCTTTAGGTTGTTGTTAAACTCATAACATCTATTTCTCAGTCTTGATCTTGAACGTCAGCAATTTATAACCTCAAATAATTTGTTTTTGTCTTTCTAAAGCTCTTTCACCATGCCTGGGTCACTTCCCTTGAATGCAGAAGCATGTTGGCCAAAAGATGTGGGAATTGTTGCCCTGGAGATCTATTTTCCTTCTCAATATGTTGATCAAGTAGAGTTGGAAAAATACGATGGTGTCGATGCTGGAAAGTATACCATTGGCTTGGGCCAGGCAAAGATGGGCTTCTGCACAGATCGAGAGGATATCAACTCTCTTTGCATGACTGTGGTTCAGAATCTGATGGAAAGAAACAACCTTTCTTACGATTGCATCGGGCGGCTAGAGGTTGGAACAGAGACAATTATTGACAAATCAAAGTCGGTGAAGAGTAATTTGATGCAGCTATTTGAGGAATCTGGGAATACAGACGTAGAAGGAATAGACACGACTAATGCATGCTACGGAGGCACAGCTGCTGTCTTCAATGCTGTTAACTGGATTGAATCCAGCTCTTGGGATGGTATGTTACATTCCTCAACCCTGTAAAAAGCCAAAAACTACATAAATACTCTTTGGATGAATAGACCCAATGACCTTTTAATTAATGCCATGTGCACAGTTTTACTAGTTATCATTGTTTAAATATATCCAGAGATAACTGTGCCTTTCAGCTAATCTAAATTGTGGATTGTGGTTATCTTATTCTGTAGGTCAAAAATTTATTCAAAATTAAGTTAGAGCTTTTTTTTTCTTCATTAGAGATGGGGAAAGCTTATTCTGGGAAAATATAAGACTTGCGTTTAAGTGGATGACATATATGGCACTAAACACCTTGTGAAATGACAAAAAAATGTTTTTCAGGACGGTATGCCCTGGTAGTTGCAGGAGATATTGCTATATATGCCACAGGAAATGCCCGACCTACAGGTGGAGCTGGAGCTGTGGCTCTGCTCATTGGGCCAAATGCTCCTTTAGTTTTTGACCGAGGTAAGTGGGAAAATGTTTATTTACTTATTTAATTGACATGCTCTTCTGAAAAATTTGAAAGTAGCAAGAGGCTACTGTGTGTCTGAGTGCTTATGAAACGTAAGCACAACTCGCTAACTCATTTAGTCTTCATAGCACTTCTGTGAGGTATGTGGTACCCTCATTTACAGAGAACTAAAATAGGTTACAGTGAAGTTTAAACGAGGACTTAAAGGGGTAACTTGCCCATAGACAAATTTCATTTGTCTTCAGGATAGCAACTATCATCTCCCAGGTATTTTTATGAAACTTGCATGAAGGGAATTACAGAACTGTCCATGGTTACTTTTGTGTTTCCTTTTAATTCCCGTAATCCTGAAGCCCTTCTGTTTTCTATAGTGGTAAAAATTAATTTGTTGAGGGAGATCCTTAGATAATGCAGGGCACCTACTAATACGAAAACATCAAGAACCAGAAATACATAGATATGTTTCTTTTTGGCACTACTAGGGCTTCGTGGGACACATATGCAGCATGCCTACGACTTTTACAAGCCTGATATGCTCTCTGAATATCCAATAGTGGATGGAAAACTCTCTATACAGTGCTACCTCAGTGCCTTAGACCGCTGCTATTCTGTCTACCGTAAAAAGATCCGTGCCCAGTGGCAGAAAGGTGAGATTTACTCTTTTACACACTTTCCTAGGATTTGGTGTCTGTTTACAGTGGGGTACTGTGCTGGGTAACTTTAGTGAGAAGCTTCTTTGTGTGAGCCTTCAGTACCATTTTACTATTCCTTGCTCAGCTACCAAATAGCATTTTCCTGTCGTGGTTGGGACTGTAAAGTGGAAACTTCTTAAAATGCAATATATGTCTGCAAAAATACTTACGTTAATTAACCCTTCGTTGAAAAGAAAAAAATGATTTGAATTTTGTTCATCTTTTGGAAGATATTTTAACAAAGTTTTAGTTTACAACTATGATTCATAGAACATAGATAACATTATTGAAGTGATCCCTATGAATTTGTTTTTTATTTTTTGTTTTTTTTTGTGTGTGTGTGGTACTGGGGATCGAACTCATGACCTCATGCTTACCAGGAATTTGTATTTTTAAGTGTCATCATTAATCTCAGTCTTTAACCTTGAAAAATTCTTGAGGCACTGAAAAGGGTGGTGTTTGAATTACTGCTATTATATACAGTGTTACAGAAAGTATGCTTTCTTTACAGTACAACTTTGCATTTTAGAGGTCATGAGAGGATTAAATTTCATTTCCATCTACATAATTGCATGTTTGAATGTGTATTAGCAGGACAATGATATTCTTACTTTTTTACCAGGGCCTACACTAATACGAAAACATGGTTTGCAGTGTTTCTATTTATTTATTTTTGGTACGGGGGATTGAACTAATGATCTTGCACTTGCCAGGCAGGTGTTTAACTCACTGAGCTAAATCCCGGCCCTTTTATTTATTTTTTAAAGCTGGTCTTGACCCATTAAATCGATTACATAGCTTTCTCATAAGTTATGACTCTTAAATTTGGAATTGAATGATGTAGTACTGTATATTATACCATCTCTTGATGTCTTTTTTAAATATACATTTTACAGTATAGAGAGAGTTCATTATAAAGAATATTTTGGTTATTATCTAAGGATGTAAAACATCCTAGCCTTATTCTAAAGTGAAGCTATGGAATTTCTTGGATTATATAAATGTCATAGATTCTTTGGACTTCTCTTTCAGAGGGAAATGATAAAGATTTTACCTTGAATGATTTTGGCTTCATGATCTTTCACTCACCATATTGTAAACTGGTTCAGAAATCTCTGGCTCGGATGATGCTGAATGACTTCCTCAATGACCAGAACAGAGACAAAAATACTATCTATAGTGGACTGGAAGCCTTTGGGTAAGAGGAACTATATTATATTTTGTTTTTGTTCTTCTACATTAAGAACATTTTGTTTTTCTGGTTTTATTATTTTAATTTTGTTTTGTTTTTGTTAATTCACTGTGTAGCCCAGGCTGGCCTTGAGCTTGCAGTGATCCTCCTGTCTCAGCTTCACGTTGCTTGGATTACAGGCATGTGCCACCATGGTTGGCTCTAAGAATACTTTTTTGAGTTTGTACAGATGTGAACATTTTAGTTGAAAGGTTGTTAGGAATCCTCTACTCTTAATCTGTTTTAGCAATGTAGAATCTGAGTCCCAAAAAGGTGGTAGCTTACTTACACAAATTCTTTAGTCGTTTCTGCCTAAGATTTTCTCATTTCTTCCTTTTCAGCTGTTTTCAGTGTCACTAAAACAAAAACTGCCAAAGTGTCTGTATTTACTGTAACAGTCACTGAACGCTCCCTGCTTCTCTCAAGTCCTGTGCCCACATCTTTTGCGTACACTGCCACTATTGAAGAATGGTGTTATCCCGTCTTTTTCTAAATTTTTAGTTCCCAGCATGTTTTACATATTTAAACGTTTCTCCCTACCTGTATCCCTTTTCCATCTGATGAAATTGTACTTAATTTTTAAGGCTTAGCTCTTATAAGATAACTTTTCTAACTAAATAGACACAACTGGACTTGAAATAGTATTGCATTGTATTTGGTGATCATAAAGTTTTAGTAGTCTATGAACTCATGAGTGCCAAGTGCATTTACTTATTTATTAACAACCTTGAGGAAAAAGAACCATTTCTACAACTTTTCATCTTGTATAGCAATTAGTGTGTTGCTACTTGACTTTTTAAAAATGAGGTGACAGAATCATACAGACTTAAAGATTTGGGTTTTTTTTTTGCCTTTTTCCTTTTTATCGGTACCAAGGATCGAACTCATGACTGCCTGCTTTCAAGGCAGGTGCTTATGCCACTGAGCTAAACCCCCAGCCCCAAACTTAAAGATTTGAATATTAGGACTATTATCATTTAGTATAATAAAAATGTAATCTTTGAACACTAAAATTGTACCTATGTCTTTTATAAAATCTTTCAGGGATGTTAAATTAGAAGACACTTACTTTGATAGAGATGTGGAAAAGGCATTTATGAAGGCCAGTTCTGAACTCTTTAATCAGAAAACAAAGGCTTCTTTACTTGTGTCAAATCAAAATGGAAATATGTATACATCTTCAGTGTATGGTTCTCTTGCTTCTGTTCTAGCACAGTGAGTATAAATTTCAGCTATTTAACTTCTCTTTTCTGGTGCTGTTAGATTTCTAAGATCAAATCCAATGCCAGGCATGTTGATAGCTCACAAAACGGTATTTTATCTTCTTTTGTACTATTGTTCATTAACTTGAAGGACTTACAGGTTAAGGCTCTTCCAGAAATGTTTCATTTTGTACATTCCTGGCCTCTGTTTTATGCTTTTATTATTTTTGATGTGCAGTTGAACACAAACTTCTTGTTAACAGAGTTAACAGCTTATAGTGTAACTTTTGTAAGCCTCACTGTTCCCCAAAAAACAAAAACTTGCTTTTAGTTTGCTCACTGTAATACTAAAACTTTAGGTTAGATTTCCTACCATAATACTAACATTAAGCTAGATCCTTAAGAATGTCAAAATAGTTTCCACTTTGACCTATAGTGTGAGTCTTACTCCTTCTATGGCTTCTCACACATTGTAGGTATGGATCAGTTAAACTCCTTAACCACTTTGTCACCCTACACAGGTACTCACCTCAGCAATTGGCAGGCAAGAAGATTGGAGTGTTCTCTTACGGTTCTGGCTTGGCTGCCACCCTGTATTCTCTTAGAGTCACACAAGATGCCACACCAGGTCAGTACCGAGTCTTTCAAAAAGAATGTGTTGGAACCCCACTGTGGAGAGGTTGCTTTATCAGACTTAGATGAGCGCCTGAATCTGCTCCATAGATGTCAACATAACCAGATGTTAGTTTCTGCCTTACCTGGGTAATTTCTGTAGGTTTAAGGAAATTTGTGGATTCCTTTAGCAGGAGGAGCAAAAGCTGGTGAAAGTGTGGCGTTGTTTAAAAATATACCATGGACTGACTTTAGAAAAGTTACTTATTTTCATTTATTTCCTGCCTTATCTCTTAGCTGATATGGGGTAAAGAGCTAGGCAGGGCACATGAAGCTGTGTCAGGTATATACCATCTTATTTTTTATCTAAACAAGAGCCAGTAGTTCTTAAAGAAATTGAGATTATTTTCATTTGGCAAGATTTTATTCAGGCTTCTTTGGCACATACCATTGTTAGCCTTTAATGTTGAAATCGTTTCCATTTTAGGATCTGCTCTTGATAAAATAACAGCAAGTTTATGTGATCTTAAATCAAGGCTTGACTCAAGAACTTGTGTGGCACCTGATGTCTTCGCTGAAAGCATGAAGCTCAGAGAGGACACTCATCACTTGGGTAAAATATTAAATTGTGCTTAGATAAAAACTATTGGAAAGGTATCATAACTTCAAACGTGAAATTTAAGACTATAAAGTCTTTAGTACTATTCTGATATCAGTGAAAATTGTGTAGTAATATGAAAATTCTGTCTCATTAGTTTTATTACCAGGAGTTCTATACCAAACTATTTTTTAATATCCTCTGCCTTCCCTTTAGCCAACTACATTCCCCAGTGTTCTGTGGATTCACTTTTCGAAGGAACATGGTACCTCGTTAGAGTGGATGAAAAGCACAGAAGGACTTATGCTCGACGCCCCTCTCCAAATGATGACACTTTGGATGAGGGAGTGGGACTTGGTCACTCAAACACAGCAGCTGAGGTAAATAAAGCTCATTTTGCTAGTCTTGTTCTTTGACAAGCTTACAAGTTTCCATTCTATGCCCTCACGGTGTAGGATCCATGACTGAGCTTCAACAACTTAAAGGAATGTCAGTAAAACAGGGTTTCATGGCATGGGCTCTGGTATTAAGAGTCCAGCTGTGCTATTTCCCTTGTATAAGGTATATACTAAAGGCTAAATTTGATTAACAATACTAGAACTTAGAGAAAGCTGTTTTAGAGAGAGGGCTTAATTTGCTGTATGTCTTAGTGAGAGCGAGTAGGGATGTAGAGCCATATCTCATCACTCAGAACATTGCCAAGTAACAATAATAGCTATGATTCAGATTCCGGTTATATGGTAGGTACTTTACTTACATCTTACTTAATTTTACAACAACCTCCTTAAGGTTTGTTAATGATACTATCCTTGTCTTGGAGATGAGGCTCCAAGAAATTAAATTTACATCTCAGGACTGTAGTAGTGAAGCCAGGTTTCAAACAAAGAATCTTATAACCTTGAAGTTATTTATTCTGCTTATCAGTTTTGATAGGTGCATAGCCTTGCTTCTTGCTGTTATGCCAGTTAAAAAGCAAGTCAAGCTACCAGTGTTTGAGTTGCAAATATAAGATATAATAAGAAAAATAATGTTTCCTTTTCTCTCTTGGCGAATAGATAAGAATGGATGTTTAGTTCCCTCCATGGAAAGCTATATAGAATATGTATTTAGATAGACTTCTCCAAAGTTACCCATTGTAAGTTACCAGTGCTGTGGACTCAGCGTGGGAGACTGGGGTATCAAAAGAGCCAACACCTGTTTTCTTTTCATTTTAGCATATCCCAAGCCCTGCTAAGAAAGTGCCAAGACTTCCTGCAACAGCAACAGAACCTGAAGCAGCTGTCATTAGCAATGGGGAGCATTAAAATACTCTGTGAGGTGCAAGACTTCACAGTGGGGTGGGGCTGGGGGTATTGGAATGGTTGGAGGAATGGGATATATTATGGGGACAGTTTTAAAGGATTACATGTTGCTTGAATTTTATGTGACTGACAGAACGTATGAAATCGTTTGTGTTGTTGGAAAAGTCTCTTTGCTCAATTTGCTAATATGCTTTTGTGGTCTAGCCAATGCTAAATGTACTGGAATGATGTTAAGGGCTCTGTAAAATTTTATACCTCTCTGGCCATTTATATGCATGAAGTCTAGTTTTTAAACATGATGCAAATCATGTGCTTCTGTGAGAAGAAAGCAGAGGTACTAGTCTCCAATTTAAATTTCTTTTTTAAAGATGCAAGAATTTTATACTTTGAACAAACAAGATTAATGAAAGTACATGTGGTTTTTGAAAAACTTTTCTAGCTTAGGAAATGGGGTCTTAAAATGTGAAGTGAACAAACCTTGTTTGAAAATGGTAGGGCAACCATGGTTTTCCTAGGATTACATATCCTAAGGAGGGGGAAAAAGAGTTAGGACAGTAACAGTGGTCTGGACTCTGGGATACTGCAGAATGTCCAGGCCAGCAGTGACAAGTTACTGTAATGACCGCTGAACACAGATGCCAGCGTTGAGCAGGCGTCTACATAGAATACAACGGTTCGTTTGAGAGCTGTGGATGTAGCTGCAGAATTGATTGTTCCAGATCAGTTCATAGTGGATTATCATGCTCACAACCTTGGTGGTAGGGGTGTATGGAAGAGGAAGCTTGTTACAGTCTTTCTTTGCACCTTATTTTAAAAGATACAAGAAACTTTTTGGCTGCCTTTTAAAAATTTAAAAAGAAAAGAGGATGGGGCAGGGCATTATTAGGTTACTTTTGCTTCAGTGTTACAAATTTAATTTTTAGACTGACAACTTAAATTCTTGGTGTAAATGGTCTTTTGTTGTGTGTGTGTGTGTGTGTGTGTGTGTGTGTGTGTGTGTGTGTCTGTATCTGTCTGTTTGTCCAATGAAACTAAAAAAGTACAGCCCAAGTTTTTACATAGTCTGACTAGCCAAAAAAAAAAAATTATTCTACTTCAAAGTCTAGAAGTAGGATTTGTAAAGCTTTTCTTAGATTTCCAACCTAAAAAAACAAAACACACAAAAAAAGGTCATGTGGTATAAAAAAAAAGTTTGGTTGGAACGTTTTATAGATGTTTTTGGTGCTGAACTCTGACATGAGCCTTATAGATTGTAAAATAGAGATAGTTGGAACTAATGTACAGAACTAAATTTTTTAAAACATTATTTGCTATTAAATTCTGTGAAGTTTCAGTTATCTAAAATAACCATTCACAAATATGAGATGTAATGTTTCAGATTGCAAGGATATATGTACTGTAGTGTTTGTAAGATACTATTGTCTAATATTAACAGTAGTTTTTGATTTGTACAGCTATAATTTGTTAAAATGACTTCATTTTAATATCCACTTCTGTAGATTAATGTACGAAGAACGGTGGGAAAATGGTGCATGTAACACTTCTGCAAGTGTTGGGAGTTCAGTGTGTTTTGAAAAACAGTAATTTAACATTTGGGTGCCAAGAAATGGTTTTCTCCATGTCCATTGCCGGCAATGGGCAGGCCTGCTAATACTGGCACAGAACATTAACTGTACGCCTTATCATCGGTGAGGTGAATAACTTTGAAATAAAGTTTTAGAGAAATATTTTTAGATATTGGGGTATTCTTTTTCCCTTCTGAACTAACAGTTTAGGCTGGACATCAGTTTATATGCGATTTGAAGTGTGGACATTTGTTTTGGTTCACTCATTCTCCACAAATACCTGAAACCCCAAAATAAGCAAGGCACCCAGCCTATATCAGGATTTTAAAAATGTACTGGATTTCAAGTCTTCCTTTCAAGGAGTTGTTTGTCTGTGGTGGAAGAATTTATATTTATAATTCATTCTGTCAGTTCAAAAAAAGAAATTAATTTCCCCAGATAGGGTGGTAAATGTGTATAGTATAAAAACTTAGGCCATGAATTACTGTGCTTTATAAATCCACACACACATAAAACTAAGGGTTGGTAATTCAAGAAAAGCAAGTTTTATAGCTAATAGAGGACAGTCTGCTACAGTTAAAGCCTCCAGTCAAAGTTACATGTTATTCGTGATCCCCCAGCCAGGGGTTTTATAGAGGGAATTCTTGGATTGGCAGTGTATGGGATTAGATAACACATAAGGTTCATATCTACTCTTAAAAGTCTAGTATTTAGTAAATAAGTCAGCTTATTTTCTAATATTAATGAGCTCATGTTTATTCATCATGTCCTATTTGGCTTCTACATAGTAAAGGTTTATTTTATGGGCCGGTGTTCTCTATAGTCACTTCTGCAGATTCTTGCATCCTAACATAAGCAATAATAGGACCTTAAGAGTTCTAGTCTGGGATGTAGCTCAGTGGTACAGTGCCTGCCTGGCAAGCACAAGCTCCTGAGTTTGATTACTGGTACAAAAAAAAATTCTCTGCTTCCCTGTCTTTCTTTGTGAAATTTGTATTATTATTCACGCACTTCACTTTTCTTTCTGGCTTTTATTATTTATATTGGGAATTGAACCCAAGGCCCTTGCGCAGAGCTACCTCCCCAGCCCTTTAAAAAAATTTTGAGATAGGGTCCTGCTAAATTGCCCAGGATGTATTTGAACTTGCAATCCTGCTTCCTTAGCCTCCCAGAATGTGCAGATTGCCGATGTGTGCCACCACATTTGGAAAAAAAGTTCCAAAGTGAAAGTCAATAGAGCAAAAAGTATAGCAGGATCTTTAATTTAAAATTTTATATCTTTAACATAAAAACATTTAAGTTACATACTTCTCGTTTTTCTTAATTGGCGGTAGGAAAAAAGAGCTGACCTGTGATTTTTCATCCACCAAAAAAATTTTTTTGTATAAGCAATAATATAATCCTAAATATTAAATACAAAACACCAGATGGATTTTTAGCAGAGCATCAGTTAATAAAAATAATTCATTTCTTGGACTACTTTACTTAGAAGTACTTTTCACCATATGTCAAGTTCCTTATTCAGACTCGCAGTCTGCTGTAGGATCTGGTGCCTGCCTATTTCAAAGTACCACATTCATCGGGTTTAATATGTTTTCTTCCATCCTCAAACATGCCAAGTTTCTTTGGGGCTTGTAGTCTTTGATCAAATACCTTGGGCCTCACTTGAAACCTCAGCTTTGCTTTCTACTCCAGCTACTGCTTATGACATGAATTTCATGGAGTCTACCTAGATTCTTGGGGAACATGGTAGCACTTCCCTTTGGATTCTTGCTACATACCTTTGCCTCACTGATGTGGACTGCCTGCAGACCTCGATAACCAAATTTCACACTGGAGTACAGAGGAGCTAGGTACCTGCTGTGGGAGCACCTTTGACCATAATGGAAAGTTTCTGATAAATGTTTCTCCATTTCAGCCTCAAGGCAAACAGTTACAAAACACATTTCATAAGGCTCTTTAGAAGATCTTAGGGAATCAACTACCAGTTACTTTGGCTAAATTGGCAACATGTTACTATACTGGGTTTCCTGTTTGGTTTCACTCCTGCACATCTCTTCTGCATCCTGTTTGTCTCAGGCTCTTGCAGAATCGAGATGGTTCCTAAAGTGGCCTAAGAAAGCAATCTCAAGATAGGAGGTTGGAGCTGGTTGTTGCCAAATGACAAAAACTCCTGTTTGTAGCAGGCAGAATGGTGTTCTCACGATTCTCACGTTCTGAGGAGAACTATCTCTAGAATCAATATTTCCTTATGTGCCATGATTAATGTTACGGACCTTGATATGAAGAGGTGATCCTGGATGGTCAGGGTAGGCCCAGCTTCATCATGTGGGTCCTTAAAAATGACCTTTTGTGGCAGTAGTCAGAGGAAGATGTGACTATAGAAGTTGATGATGGAGAAAGGGACCATGAACCAAGGAAGGCACAAAACAAAGCAAGGAACTAGCTTTTCTCTTAGAACACCAAAAACAACAGTCATGAAAACTCTTTGTTAACTCACTGAGACCTGTGTCACGCTTGTCTCACAGGATTATAACATAAATGTGTTATGGTAATGTGTCACAGCTTTCTCAGTACACCGCTGCAGTTTGTAAGCATGGCATGCAGGAGCAATGCAGTGACTTGAGACTCACCAGAGGGTACAGTAGAATGTGAGGCACTGAGACCTGTCGTTCCTGTGGACTTGAGAAATATGGGGGCAGTGGTAAGGGTTGGATTTGCCCAGCTTTTATCAACTTTTTAAGAAGCCAGGAAAACAAAATTGACAGGCAAAGTTAGCTAACAGTTCAAGCCAGGATGTCTTTAAGACAAAGTTTAAAGAGAGTTTTATCTCCTGCCATAGAAGGAAACTAGAATAAGCCCAGATAGGAAAAGAAAGTAAACTGGAGACCTAAGTTAGTAGCATGATGAGTGAACCAGAAAATGTTACAAAACAGGATTCTCCTAAGGTGAGGCTGGCAGGGGCAGCTCATTCTTCCATGCCCGGATACCTCGTCAAGGCCTCTAGTGAGGCAGATGCCTGTAAGATGATGCGTGGTCTCTTCCAGAACCTTGTTGATTGCTTTCATTGTTCTTTAGAGCAAGAACCAAAGCGAGGTCTCAGTGCAGCCCAAGTGGGAGTGGAAATGGCACAGACACTGAAGGAGTTGCAGAACATGGCTAATACACACTATCAGGTAGTTCTTAAGGGGGTATTGGGTAAGAGGTGGAGGTTGAGGGAAGAATGGAAGGCAGAATAAAGGACAGTTTATTATATCTGGGGAACACTTACCTATGAAATGGAATGGATTGGGTTCTAGAATCCTGGGATGGCTATTTAGGCTTGAGCATGGTTATGGCCAACAGTAAATTAGGCGGAGATGATGGAACTACTTTGGCACAGCACTAAGGAAAAGGTTGAGTGATTCCAGGAGAAATTAATGTTAGAAGAAATTCATTTTGTGAAACAGAAAACCACCTAAATGTAGTTGCCTAGGAGGACATTTCCTTTACTAAGGTAACCCAGAATGCACTAGTGAGGGGTGCATCAGCGCCCATGAAAAGCTCGACGGCAGTTGGCCACTATGGACGGGTTGACACCGAGATGCTCGACCTGAAACTGAGCAGGCTGTTACAAAGGAAATGATGGATTCTAGAATGACACAGGGAAGGTGAACACACTACAGTGAATGATAAGATTGGAGTAGTGATCAGAGTGCCTTGATCTACCAGGTTTGGTGACAGTGGCTAAGAACACTATTCTGAGAGAAAACTGATTATAGAGTGTTACTTATGTAACCAAGAGAGAAGAGAAGGGAGTGAGCAGAGGGCAGAAGTAATCTGTCACAGCTGGAAAGTCATGGCCCCTTATCTAGCTTTCAGATTTAAGTCTATTTAGAGATTTCGTGCACAATGAGGATAGGACTGGTAGGTTTGTTTTGTTTTGTCTTTTTGAGACAAGGTCTCCCTATATGCAGTTCAGGCTGGCTTCAAACTCACAGTGATCCTTCTGCCTCAGCCTCCCAGTGTTGGGATGAGGGCGTGACCCACCAAGGACTGGTTTTACCAAAAGCTTGTCTTCCACAAGTGCATACTGAATAAATAATCAAGAATTTTAAAGGACTCTTGAGCAGCATCATGGCTGTATGTGTAGATGGCGGCTTTTGTGAATCAGCTATAGAAGGGGGTTCTGGCCAAAGTCTATCTCATAATAGGTCTTTAGGATTAGCCAAGTATATATTAAGATAAATATACTTAGATCTATGTTTTGTGGAGAAGAGTCATTATAAAAAAGAGCTAAATAGAAACATCTCTCTGGCCATGTTGATAAATCATGGATAACCACATGAAAGAATGCAGTCATCAGTGTCACCATCTAAAAATTTAGGGGATGCAAGAATAATGAGCACCACCTTAACCATAAGATGCCTGAAACCAAATAGATGGGTGCAGGCTGATGGTGCACCACGATTCCTCTAAATTGTGAATGCCAGTATCTTTACTGATGTTTGCTATGCAGCTATTGGTACTGCAAATACATTCTGCTCGGTTTCCATCAGCGATGAGGGCCAAAAATAGTTTACATTCCTCTAGAACAGTGGTTATCATTTATTCTGTTGCTCCAAAGATGTTAAACCTTTTGTTCTGTGTCACGATATAGCCTAAGGACCTTGAGCATCATATTCTGCACAACATCAAGCTGGTCCACTATATGATGATGTCATATGTGATGATTTTAGCTACCAGGAAGGCCACTTCAAATGCCTTACGCAGACTTGTATATGGCATGGGATAAACTCCATGAAAAACCAGGGATGTGTCAGATTGGGGAAGTATTTAGAGAACCATCGAGCTAAAGGTTTATACCTAGACATTTCTTCTACCGTAAAGAAAAATACTTTTTTAACACTTAGAGCACTAATGTAGCAATATAACATTTAATGGGTTTCTCTGGGTTTTGGAAACACACATGTTGTACTTGGTATATTATTCCAAATCTTTTATGGGGGCTGATTTTTCAAGTGGATTTTACAAAAGAAAGATCACAGTAGTTGTGAGTTTAGTACAAACTGAGGTGCCAGTTAGTACTCTAGGGAGTCCTTGGTGAGCCCCAGTAGAAGGTTCCAGCATAGCTCTGTAAGATCCTAGAGTAAGATCATGCCTTCTATAATACAGAACTACTC